TTTTAATACAAATTGTTCAATTAAGAGTAATTATTGTTTAAACGACGTCTCAGATGCAATGATTGTTCATGAAATTATCTATCGCCCCTAAGATAATGATAGTAATATTAACGTCGAATAACTTAATTATTTATCAATGAAGATATTAAGATAATTAATATACGTCAATTAGTTCGTACTGTTAAATGGTTAGTACAACTGACAGACCTGAATTAACTGATTACGATATATACTTTGCAGAAATCATGTGAAACTGATATTATATAACTGCAATGATACCTTGTAACAATTCTACTGATGTTTTTTATAATAAGGTGGATTCGTGGTTTGTAGTTTAATCCATGACGCCCATTTCGTCTTCTTCGGGACTCACCATCTGTACGTACCTGTATACCAGAACTTGAACCTAGTGCTTTTAGATCCAAACTCCTAACACTTTATCCACTTAGTCATCTCGTTTGAATGGTCACTAGTTTGTACAAAAGTAATATCGAGACAGTTCGCTTATGATATACATGTTTGATGAGGTTGATTGACTGAAGATCATATCAGTAACGGGAAGATTCAAACCTTTACAAAGGATGTAATTTTGTTATTTTTGCCACCATAACATTTTTTAGGTCAAGTCAATCAGTTTGCGCCGCAAACACCATTTGGATACTTTCTTATCTATGTCAAAATATCAAGCTGTTAAATTAGTCGGACGTCTGATGTAAGTGAAGGGAGAGTTTTGCGGGTAGGAATAATAAAGATTACTCAGTCATCACTAGCATATACATGGTCAAGAATAAGTGTATAAGGAACGTATTTATAATTTAGGCAAGTTTTGAGTAACTGGTTATAACATTAAAAGTTTGCAGTCCCTTACAAGAACGACTAACAACACCAAACACTGCTATATTTAAAATGTCCACAAGAACGAGTTGGGCGATATTTTCAATCGTATCACTCTACTTACGATAGTCTCGATCAACCAATACAAAGTAATAACTACTCAACAAACGAAATTGAGTTCGACTTAATATCTAAGGCTGTCATTAGTATTAATACAAGAGCAACATTAGGGCTCCTCCAGGGAGGAAGGTGACCAGGTCCCTTTTCCTCTCGTAGTAATTTATGGACAGACCAATAAAATTAAAGACAACACGTCTCGGATTTCGGTGCAAAGTTCGTTTACCCATATGGCTATATAGCATCTTAGTTGATCTCAGTTCCTGATGTAAACCTTTACTCCAATTCCTAACCCCAACTTCTAACTCCAAATTCTTATCACAAACTACCCGTACTAATTTAAAACCCTATATTAAACCTATTAAGTAGGTGAGTTGTCGCAAGATCACTTAGGGTCGCTCAAAGGTCATCCGTATATTATAGTCTCACCGACCAAGTCATTGGGGTTATAACTAGACTCCTAGATTTAGAGGAATACTTTCTACTTTCTGTTAAGCAACTAAAATCACATTCCTCATAGATTTAATTACTGGATGTCATGCGATGTATTCAAAGTGTACAAGGTCTTTGTACAAACTGTTGGCTGTAAACAACTATTTCCTATTCAGCTTAATCTTTGAATCCTGTTATTTTCAGCGAAAATCTAAATAACTCTATTGCTGTAATCGGCTAAAAGCATGTATATGTTCACAATCAACTCACTGAAACACCCTATTCAGCGGAAAAATTCACAAAACTGACAGTTGGCTGAATTTAATCCAATCTATTCAACTTATAACCATTCTAAATCATACATAAATGTATGACTCAGTTAATGTACATATTTCAGGTAAACACCAATAGATTAAAAATAACGCAAATCAGACCAAATTAACCGGATTTCTTTGTTCTAAATTGTCAAATATCTTGTATATCAACAGTTATATTTTTTGAATGTCCATTAATTAGAGTAAATGCTTCAAAAATCATACCTCAATATTGATTCTTTGTTAAAAATGGACTTATTTTGAGAGAAGAGTCAGGATACTTAGAGTAACGATTAAAATTACTTTACATAAATGTAAATAATTGCAAATTGTTCTTACTTATTTCTTAAGATGTTGTGAAAATTTTCGAAATTTTATCAGGAACTGTACGCATAACAAAACCATGCTATCTTACTTCATGTTGACCTAAATGATCTTTTAGAGTAGGCGATCTGCTACAGACAGGTCAGACAAACGAAGTAAGTCATATATATAATACCACAATCAAATTTTTAAAAAAACAAAAGACATCAAGCAGACTTGATAAATATCAATGTTGCATATCCGATTCAGAAGATTGCTCTAACACAGCCAGCTGAGATCAAGTAATGCCTTTCAGTTATGGGAGGAATAAGATTTTTTGGAACAACTTTAAGCAAGAAATCATAATAAGACTATCGATGGAGACACACACCACCTTCAGGTTAAGTACTAAAACCCGAGTTGATAGACAAATTTGTCTAAGAAGCTGAAGTAAAACAAAACGTTGGTCAATACAGTGATGATTAATCTCAAACATTCCTATTCTTCTCAAGTTCCTAACTTACATACGCTAAGATTTTGAAAACCGTTGGTCAACAAGTGATTTGAGATACATAAAAGTCTATTTCAACACTTGTAAATCGAATTATGGACTTCAGTAGACATATCTAGTGAAAGTAGCAAAATTAGTGTGAATACAGGTCAACGAGTTACATACGAACAATAATCCATATATGGATGATAGGCTTATCGTGTTTAGGTATACAACGCGATATCTTGAAAACAAGACAGCCACATATCGTCCCAATGTCAGATGGAGATGAGAATTTCGTAAAAGACATGGTATGAAAAGAAGTATATTATACCTCGGTCAATGACCGAGCCTACGTGTCCTGTCTAAATCAGAAGAACAAATGTAAATATACTTATACTTTGAGTCCATTATAATTCGATTTAGTAATCATAGTTTCTAACTTACTTTAGTTTCTTCATTTGTCTGGTGAGTTTGATCTACCATAGGTACTTTATATTATAACTGGATCGGATAGCGGAACACAACAACAGAGTATCAATATGAATACAAAAACTGAATACTAATTCAGCAAAATTTCTGTTCCACCGACAATTTTCCTTCCAATAAAATTTTTATAGAACATTGAGGAATGGAAATAATAAGTTTTAATTCGAATAAAACAGCTTATGAAACAGAATTTTATAGGATAATAGAACACGAATGAATATAAATTTCAAAAGTATCAAAAGCATACATACATAAGCAATAAAGAGTAAAAATATAACAATTCGCAAATGAAAAGATTGGAAAAGACATCATATTACTGGACAACATTTATTCGATTTAAAACAAAATGCATATAAAGAATCATTGTTCCAATGTTCGTTAAACTGCAAATGTATACTACTACTACTACTACTACTACTACTACTACTAATAATAATAATAATATATAATATATATAATATATATATAGTAGTAGTTGTAGTGACGGTACAACTAATATTAATTTAATTATTGTGACCTATTATCCAATATTAGGAATTTTTTCTTAAAAAAAACGTACTAATGGATGAGAATCAAGAAATGAGAATAGCGAATAAATTCATCAAAATAATATTCTAATTTTGTCCAAAATCCTAGTTTACAAAAGATTATATTCTCACTTAAAGTTTTAAACCTACATAAGAAAATGATTCACATGATTTAGAATAAACAATAAACTTGAAGAATATACTATGTTCTTAAATTGACTCTATTCATAAGTGAATAAATAGATAGTATGCCATTCTTATAATTCTTTAATAGTTTTATAATTTATGGCAAATGAATATGCTAGTATTGAACATCAAGACTTCAAAATGCCCTAATACGGTCAATTACGGAGAAGATACCTTCAACCTCTCGATATGTTCAGGTGACTATAGCCTCTGGTGGAGAAATATTTTTATGAGTGACAGGGCAATAGGTGAATGTTAGGAATTAGAGTTGGGTTGGACCACCTACGATGGTTAGAAAACTCGGATTCCAAACCAATGTGTTCTATACAGACACTGGGATCTTAAAGAAACGAATGGCATATGGACCTATCTTAGTCACTGGGTAACATAGGATTAGATCATCTGACGTTGTTCCGCTGCCTAATGAATCAAACCACTGGATTAAAAACTTCAGGGAGTATCCAAACCCGCACACAAATATGTGAATCGATAATTATGAAGAAAGTAAACCGTTTGCTCCTCTTTGTTACCAACTCAAACTACACTGAGGATAACTCTATTACAAATGAAATGATTTTACTCTGCTTAGATATCTTATGGCATTTTATTTCCAACTTCGGCATACTTTTATTCTCAAAATAGCTCAAAAGGTCATATTTGTTAGAACTTTTGTTGTGCTTGCTCGGTTTCAGGTCGCTGAATGATGTTGCTCAACATATAACCTGATACAGATTTTGTCAAATCAAGTATGCCATTTAGACTAATACACCTTAAGTGAGAGTTCTTTTTGTGTTGTTGTATTTCTCACTGATCTGTGTCTCTCCAAGTACATGCTATTCTTGCTCATTTTACTTTTTATTGTACTCCACTTTACCTGCCTTATTCCTTCCCCGATATCATCTTTTGTTTGTGTTACGCATACTTTTATTTGTTGCCCTCAGTAGTACTTGTTTGTGTATAATAAATGAACTAGAAGCACCTGTTCAACGAGGGTCAAATACAAAATTATCTAGAAAAACGTTTGATATGAATGTAGGAGGAGCTTAGCTGTAAAATGTATACACTAAAATCCCCACCACAAATTTGTGTTTTCAAAGGACAGACAGAAAAATTAGGCATTAATTTAAAGGTTTATTATCATAGGTAAACATTATATGATTATTCGTTAAGAAAATTTTTCATATTTCCTCAAAACTTATATACCATTGAGTGATTCAATACTCTGTGTGCCTGTTTGGCTCTGGTTCCTCTGTTAATATCAGCTTGTAATGAAAGTGTCCTATGGAACCTAAGTTTCACAGAAGCTGATTATATAACATATTCAGTTGTAAGGAATCTACTTTTTAAATACAAAGACATATGTACATATCTGAAAATGAATGAATAATGGGAATTTCTTCGCTTAGTTTATTTAACATATTTATAGGTAAGAAAAAGCTCTATAAAAAGATACCTACCAGCACATAATATATAAACATTTCGTGTCAATAAAGTATCTTTATATTGTGGTCCATTCACTGAACATTGAACTTGATTTAAACCAATAATATCTAATTGTGAGCAATGAACATGTAAAGTTGACTTAGTAGTTGTCATACCAATTGTATTTGGTGAATTACTACAAACATTTTCATGAATTTTATTTGGATTCGTGGGCATAATTGCTTTAGTCATTGTCTGAAAATACAAACAAAATCATTCTATATTAGATGATATACAAAAAGAAATATTATTTTTGATAATAGGAACATGTTTCATAATAAAATGAAATAGACAAACAAATCAATAACGATTGAGTGATATTTTAGAATGTAGTATATTGTATAAACAGAGATTTATGATGTAACCCATTTATCAAGTATAGATTTGTCTACTTGGATTTAAGCCATATTTAATGTTTGGACAGTAGTGACACTATGGAGCTTCCCAAATTGAAGTAGGTGAAGAAGGACTTGAACCTGCAACCTAATGGTCGAAAGTCGAACACCCTTACTGCTAAGCTATGGGGAACGGTGTGAATTTACAACACAGTTTATAACTTCAAAGATCTTACCAATTCAATTGTATTAATGAATTTTGACAAGATAATTCAGATAGTAGGAAGTGAACAAGAAGTGGCCATGTATAAGATTTTTCAAGAATTATTCAGCCACTATCAAGACACAAAAGAGAATTATACGTCGTTATTTATTATCTATACGTACATGTGCCTGAGCTGTCACTTGGTAATCATTTTAGATGAAAGGTTTTTGGAGATTGATTTGGCTTATAGGTTGTGTACATCACAGATTGATCTCGATTGGGGTATTATTAGAAACGAGGAAGCACTGGAGAGTGGTACCAATATAAGACATGAAGTTCCCAGGTTCGATCCTTGATGAGGTTATGGGTAAGCACTACAAGGAAGTCCTCAACTGAGGTCAGTCTGTGACGGATACAACCCAGCAATTAAACCAGTGTCCACAAAACGTTTCCAGTTGAAGTATATATCCAATTTACTTGCTCACATACATCTATCCAATCTTAAATGAAACGAAACATTTTTTGTACGAGTCAAATAACACTTCTGTAACTTATTTGTAGCTATATCAGTTGTTCAGTCAATCGATTGTTCATTTAAAGAGAAGAATTTAAGCAACCATGATAACAAATAAACGAAAATAACAGATTTATGTACGGTCGTGGGTCTGTGATTAAAACCATGGTAGTTTAAGGAAAGGGATACTACTAATTAATAGTTGAGATAATTTATACTAAGAATCATGAACGGCGGCCTGCTTGAATATCTGGGCTACCTGTTCCACCGATCTAGATATTTCATCAAGTTATCTGTTTTGTTGTTTGTTTTAGCACATCACTATGTCTATTGTGCGCACAACCTATTCAGGCGCGTTTATGAAAAGTTTACAACCTTTCGCTATACGGGATACAAAAAGGTACAATCAGAGACATCATGGTTGCTGGCAATATGCATTGAAACAAATGAACAGTAATCAAATGTGGATTACCAAACTTCTAACATCTAACTGGTCATCATTCAAAATTTATCGTCACAATCGATCAAGGTATAAGACAAGGAAACTTGTTGAAATATTTTATGCTGAGAATTCTATGTTGTACCAAAAATATAATGTTGAATAAAGCTTCTAATAATAATAAATAATAATAATAACTAGATTCATTTAATTACTTGGAAGTCAATACAGTTTTCTAGTCATTTACTGTAATGATAGGAACACGCTGAAAGAAACCTGAGGCTTGCCCAAACCAGTGTTACATCAGTTCTCGAAATCAGTGGCTATTGGTCAAAGCTACATTAGTAAGCCCATGATTGAACTCCATGTAATTAGTTACAGAGAATAGGTGAAGTGATTCAAAATAGGTTACAGTGACGCGGATTCATTCAACTTTTGTGCACCCCAGACCTTGAAGTATAATTTCTTCTCCTCGAAGCACTTTCTCTGTCCAATATATTTAACTATCGTTAGTACTTATACTTCTAATACTCTGATACTCACCCTGCTTGTTTTATCCCGCTGTGTTGATGTGATATGGGATCTTAGGTTGGTTGGTATTTGCACCAGTTTCTTACGTTGTTTATGACCTACTAACCGACTGACATTAAGAACTGGTATCACTAAAAGTTGTGATATTGTAATTGTAGAGGGTTTAAGTGAACCATGTGATTAACGTAGGCCTGTTGTTTTTGAAGGGGGTTCATTAAAACTGTTCCGTTGTGGGTTAAAATCTACTATATAAAGGCTGGTTAGTATCTATCATATCTTATGTAAACGAATTCGGGATAGCCACGTTCATTAGATACCTTCTCAAAGTGCTTTTAGTGACAGATAGGTTATCAAACATGAAAACGAAGCAATAGATCCACTAATTAAGTGGTTTGTAGGCCCATTTGAAAGATTATATCTCAACAAAGTAAGCTTTAAAACCGATGGCTACTTGTAAATTAATTTGGGTTTTAAGAATTTACCTTTATTCCATTTACGATCTTACATAAAACATTTAAAATATACGAAAAATGACTTAAGTTTTTGGTGGTATTTTGAGATATCTGGAGAGACTGATTTTATCTTGGAAAAATGCCACTATAATATATGTTAACACTTAATAACCAGAGCCGTTAAATAAAAGCAATCAACAATATAGTCCTTGTTTAGGATTACATAGACAACAGGTTGAACCACACTGAAATAAGAAACTAAACCGAATTCCTCACATGGACCTACAAGGGGCGATGATTCAAATAATTGTAGTCAATAACTGGAGATGTTAGGTGACATGGCCTAAAATCGGTCACAGTGGCACAATTGTACTAATTGTTTCTCATCAACAAATCACTGCTCGTTTATTTTGCCATTGACTGAATAATCACTACCACTTGAAATACTTATGGTGTTTTATCACTTATTGTTTTCAAGCATACAGACCAAACATTCATATAAATAATAAAAATTACCTCATTCATGACTAGCCAAGTTATATTGGCTCGAGGATGTCCACAAGTTGTTTCACAAGTAAGCTGAATTCCTAGTCCTGAACGTAAATCATACGGATTAGTCCGAGTGCCTAAGCCGATATGTTGACTAGGTGGTGTGCCAATGATAGATAAAGCTGAATCCAATCCAGCCGTAGCCAAAGACGATGAAGATGATAATTCTGAAGGTGAACTGGAGTCTTTGATCATACTTTCTTTGTTTGTCACAGGCAGTGATGTTAAACTTGAAACACCCATCTTTTCCAATTTAGCTGGTGCTAAGAAAATTTTTAAAAATATTAACTAACAAAGTCCCAAGGTATTTAAACTGCGAAAACTTTCATAGTTAAAAATTCCATCTGAATTCGCAGTTGTAATGTATAAGAACAAAAATATAAATATCAATATATTGATAAATACCTCATAATTTACAATTGATTGATCACTGGGTAGTGATCAATGTCAGGTGTGTCAGGTGTGCAGATCGAATTATATCGATTGAGTTGCAATGTGGCCACTACTCTAGGTGACTGGACATCATGTGCACTGTGTTGAGATGAGATGACGATTGGGGATAGTTGACAAGAAATTTGTAGTTTACATTACGGATTGACCTTAGTTAGACAAGTATTGGAAAGTAGAAAGCACAGGAAAGTCGTTTCGCCTTGCTATAAGACTCAAAAGCAGTGTGCATCTATGACCTTACAATGTTAGGAGTAAGGCTGCTATGCACCAATAACATTAGATGATGGTTGTTATCTAATATTTCCTGGTTTTTAATGGTTATCCAACTGCGATGTGTTTGTAATGTAAATTATAACATTAAACTATCTCCGTAAACAGTCTATACCAATAAACCCACCATATCTCTTAACTTCTGTAACAAGCACAAAAAATCAAATGAATTCTTAGCTAAATGAACCTCAAATTCGCCTTCTGTGCGACAAGAATATATAATCTTTTTGTAACTTTTAGCCAGTGAACAAATAAGAACAGGATGAAACGCGCATCTTGGATTACAATGCTATCTACCATCCATCTCTGTTCATAAAGAATAGCATGGTTTTAAGTAGATCTGTGAAGGATTTTGTTGACTTGAACTTAATTTTCATTAATTTTAAAGCGACATTCAGAACAAGCATCCATAAAAGTTAAGATTGGCATTTTTGTTTCATGGCATTTGAATATCCACACCACTGGTTTTGTCCAGCTAAATAGAATTTCATCATTGTTACTCTTAAGCTGTAGTTTTACGACCCCAACAGCTTTCAACAAGTAAGGGAGAGTTATTAGTGGACTATTGTTTGTTTGAGATAGCTAGGGAGATATACAGATACATGATCTTGAGTTACCGCTACTGATATAAACCTGAGGTATATTTTATACTAATCAGGAAGTCTGAGTTATTGTTGGTTCTAGTATCAGGTTTCCAAATTAGCTATTCAACAAAATACGTGCAATACTGATAACAGAAATGAAATTATCACAAATTTATACATAAATTTAAAACGATTGTATGTAAAAATGTTCTAAAAACCAAGTCGCTGTAGCTTACTGCTTTAGGTACTCTCAACTTTTGGTCAGTAGATAACCCGACTATATCTGGTACTTTGATATATCAGTTAGGCTTGGAAAACGTGTTGGCCCAACTGAGCAATGTTGGCTAGAACACTTGTTCGTTGTCATCACATAGCTATGAGATGAAAACTACAATACACATAAAATTGGATTTCAGAGTCAATGGATAGTGCATTCAAACTGTTCTTATCACAGAAACTTGGTAGACAGACATTTCGTTCAAATACTGCGTTTTAACTATAAGAAATGAGAGAAAATCCTTATAACTTACCATATACTTCAAGAGTTTGTATGGTTTTATTTGCTGCATAAGTACACGACCAATTACCACGATCTGCCCAAGAAACCGATTTAATATGTAATTCATAAGTTTCGGCTCTTTGCCAATCATCTGGCTCACATATTAGGTGGTACTTTTGTGCTTCGTACACGAAACACTTCTCTGAGATTAAGTTTTCTTCATGCCGAAATAACATTGCATATTTTGTTGAAAGTCGTATTACTTGTATCTGACACCTCAAAATTACTTTTTGACCAATAAGTACTGGTTGGTTTGCTGGGATTACGGATAAACTGAATTTCGCAGAATCTGCAATAAATTGAAATGAAATATCCCAAGTTTGAGTAGAATTTGAGTGTGTGCATGAACATTTAGAGCGTTCGATTATCTACGCATTTACAATAAACATATGCCACACATAATTCACGTATGATTTCTACGGAGAAAAACCTTCGAATAGCGAGAATTCAGGGTGAAGCGTGGAATTCGGATTACAGGCATTATGAAAACGTTCATCTTATAAAAAACATGACGTGCAACATATTCATGTTTGTTACTCCACAACATGCCTTCAAAAACTAACTATTCTAAAATGAATATGTCCTAAGGTTAGCATTGTTTCTTTTTCTTGGAACTACTAATGTCAACAGAAACATCAAAAACAAAGAAACATTTTGGTACGTCTGAGTTTAGTGGGAATCACTATGGAATGAGTGCATTATTCAAGTTTTAGTCACTTCACAACAAAACTTTGGGTAGCTGGAACATGTGTAATTTAGAATATAATAGTATGAACACATGAAGATGGAATACTGGTGTTTAAAAAAATATACACCAAGTTAATGTCTGATAGTATATCCCGATTTCCCGGTGGAACTTGAAGATCTTATCAAACCCACCGATTAAAACATTTAGATACTGTTGAGAATTTAGGTGATTAAACACCTTGGTGTCTTATTTTTTTAATATCAAATGAGTCTTCAGAATGAAAATAAACAAGAGTGAAACCTAAAACAAAGCTGGGTGCGCAAGACCAGACTCAATGTTAATATTTAATACCTATAAGACATGAGTAACACACTTAAAAAAAAACTGGACCACTCTACCTACTCTTATAACATTAACTCAATATTATAACCATTTTTATGACCATTCATAATGCTTGCTTCTTACCTGATTTTTCTATAAAGCATATAATTAACAAAATGAGATGCAACATTGTATTGAACTACTAGCCAGAATGCAACCAAAGAGAGGAGAATTGAGATGAAAAATCTGCTGAGATCAGGTAAGAATCTAAAATTTAAGATAACAAAATCAAAGAACGAATAAAATACTTCATTAGGTAATAGAGATGAACTACATGAGGAAACATGACATGTTACGATAAGCGTGAATTTTACGTTGCTAAATCGACGGAGAAGCATGGATGTGAAAATACACATATTTAGGCAGAAGTCAATTAAATGTGAACTATCAAGAGTAGCTAATTGCCGCTTAGTAAGGCAACAATCTGGAAATAAGTTCCAAAACCTAAAATTTAGTATTACTATACAACATGGAACTGAACGAAATAAGTAATGGGAAATGTTGTGCTTTGCGATCTGGATCGGTTATAAAATATGTTACTTATGGTATGCCAAAATAATTATTCAAGGAAGGAAACTAAAACAAGTAATAAAGCATAATTTGCAAACGATGTAATAAACTTAAATTATCAGTATAGATATATACCTTCTGACACACACTCTCGTAGTATTAGTGGGAGATTTTCATATAACATCTCATCTTTAGACAACACGTGACTATCTGGCATTCACATCATGTCTAATAATAGAGCATTTTGTGGAAAATTCTGAATCCAACAGTTTACAACACGGGCTGACTTCAAGTAACCGATGAAAACCATGGGGTACTGGACAGATATTTAGCCTTAGCACGTGACGCTTCAGCCGTGAAGATCCGTGACCCCACCGAGGGTCAAACCTAGGACCCTCAGGTCATACAGCAAGTGCCTAGCCTGTTTAATTACCGACACACCACCTATTGGTTTGTATACTAAGATTCAATAGTTATCCAGAGTTCCCTGATTTTCAACAACTGTCTAACTAGGACCGCCAAGTGATGCAAACTATGATTTGACATCATGCATCTGGCTTCCGTATATGCACACATATAACACTTTACTGGAAATTCGATACAGAGAAATGACTAGTTTTGGAGTTTCGAGGAACACAATAGGTTATTTATGGTGTAAGTCCTGACAATTAAATCACTCAGTGTAAGTGCAGAACATGAGATGAAAGTAATCGCTGAGATATTGTGTTTAAACGAGAAACATGCTATCAGATTCAATGAAACTCTCTTTGACTTAACACTTAAAAGTGACCAAAACTGTCACTTTTTCAAACGAGAGTTGCATATTCTAGTATTGATAGACGTACTCTGAATAACAGGCGTCATGGTTTCTGAGCTTCTTCATATAACCTATTTGAACTTACGTCGTAATTACTATGACTAGACGAAAGAATGGTACACTATATTTAGTTAGAGAAACAATTGCAAAGCTACTGTGTATCGAACAACACACAGACAGAAGCGCTAAACAATCAGACTAGTGTTAAGAAGAACTAAGGTGGATAAATTGCGAATTTAGTAGCAAACATGTTCTTGGAAAATATATAACGATACAAAACTTTTTACGTTTGACAGTTCAAGCAAGAAGCGGCTCTAAAATATGATCTCAAAAAACTAGTAAAACCCCTTTGATATTCAAATCTTACGGCCAGGACTGATTCCTTATTTACTTCTTAAAATATTAAGTATTAGACCTGTGTTGCTAGCTTAAATCTTCCAGACAGAACGAAACGGGAGTTCTGGATCCCACTGCTAGCCATCACCCATCTCTCCTTTATGGCGTTCCTTTTTGTGATCGGTTAGGCTAATGCTTAAAACCAACATTCTTAAACTAAATGTCTTATTTTCGTCAATCAAACTGACATATAGACGGAGAATGGCAAACTTAAACTATGCATCCCACCAATTATCCACATACGTTAAGATGAACAATATCTTTTCTTATGATTACGCTACCATATATGATGTTGTTGCAAATCCAGAATATCAATTAAGTTCCACAGGTTAATGGTGAAGATAAACCTAGTCTTTAAGCTAGTCTTGATAAACGGTCTGAATAAGATAAACTACGGGAAAATAGATGGTTCCATTAGGTTTCGTAATCTGACACAACCACGGCTGTTCCGAGAGCTATATTTAGAAGACAATATTATATGTTACAGTAAATAAAGATATACAAGTTAATTTGAAAGTAAACATTTTAGCGGTAGTTGCAGTACTTCTGTGACGACCTTAAATAGGAGTTCGACACTGAACTAGACTGTCATCTAATCAAGCTAGGCGAGAAAGAGCAAGACACGAGTACAGCTTCTAAAGTTTTCTGAAGGAGACTTATAAACAGTGGTGCTCTGTATTTAACGCTAAACAGTTCGACAGGGACGTAAGGCAGTTCTTAAGCATGAGCGAGTGTAGATTGTATCACTTGTATGACCTTCAAATATTAAAAACTGATTACTCCAAAATCTTGGCCTTTCGAGACGGTATGTTGTAATGTGACAAGAACTTGATCAAGCTCGTTGTCATTCCTCTCGGTAGGAACCTAAAGTCTGGAGGAATACACAAAACTAACATTGACCAATTACTTGCAACGAAGAACAGGACCCAGATATATCAACGAAAACAAAGTAATCTGAACCAGCGATGAACAAATAGATTAGAAGATAATCTATGAAGTGTGAGGAATAAAATATATAGCAACTTGAAATTATGAGTGAGTCTCTAGTATATACAAACATCGAAAAAGTAAAGGAATCATGACAAACAACCCGGGCGAGCATTAGTCCTGATTTCATTTAAGGGCAAACAACCCTCTCTTTACAGTCCGAAACTATTAGCTCAAACAAACAAAGCAAAATACTTGAGTGTTTACGCCATCACTTCATTGGCTTATTCATTATGTTAATCGTATGTAAGATGACACGTTGTTGTGAATAATTATGATAGTGGATTTGTCAACACTTATTCCTTCGTACGTTCTGAATCATTGTCATATCATCAAATATACTGATAATATTCTGTTCTTATGCACTTCCGGTGAATCTCTGAAACTATTAATCACAACCTTATGTGGTTCTGTGAAATCAGAGATTTCGTTATTCCTGAAACCGGATTTGCTGGGCACACGTACAACGATAGTGATGACTTTACTGAAACTCATTTCATCAGCCTTATCGAACGTTTTAATTATTTGAAAGTGTGTTGTCTCCAACTCAACGAACAAGCAGTAAGGCGCCATCACTCTTAGACTTGACTTTTACAAGCAGAGAATCCCTAATTGATCACCTCTCAATCCTAGCTAACCTGAGAAAAAATGTCTACGCCGTTATGCGCTCCCATTTTATTACTAAAAACTGGATTCAAATATCCTACTAATAACGGTCATTGTAATTTTAAACAGTTGGATGTATCCGCTCTGAAGGACAAATTTGGCAAATGGACTAGGAAGCCTGCTATCAATTGATATGGTTTCTCAATCGGATGTCTTGCTGAACTTTCGAAATAAAAAATGATTGTACTACAAACAGCCCTCAAAAGTTACGCATAAGGAGCTGAACGCTTTAAAACATTTAGTCTACCGACCGGTAAAATTCATAAACACCATACAAATCACTAATAATACCATAGTACGAAGACGCTTACTTCAGAACACGGAATGTTAGCGTAACCAAATAAGATTAACAGTTCCAGCACATCAAATTCTTTAGCAGTTAGAGTAAAGTGTAGTTTTTTCTGGGCTACAGAACGACTCGATGATGTCCACCAAGGTTCATTACAAATGCCCTATTGTTCTTCTAATTTATATGAACGACATTACCCAGCAAATGTCTCCTGAATTATCACTTTGGGGAGGAAATTGCAATCAGAATGATGACCTAGCACTTCTACTATGTATTCAAGGAACTAATGACAGACTTCATCTCATTAGTTCAAAATAATCTGTTTGAAACACGTTGCAGATTACATGTATAATCTAGTTTGAAGATGCCACAGGTATTCGGAGTTTGACAATGCTTTAACCAGTAACACCTTTTAATATGAAGCGTACCCAGCAAGTGAAATCAAAAGACAGAAGCGAGGAAGTTCGAAGATATATTTGATATGCTATCAATATATCGAGAATCGTCTGATACAATCTGGCTAGCGATTGCAGGGGTTGTTGAACACGGCGTTTTCACTCGTGATCTGGTGCGGATGCATGACCATTAGCTAGGTGAGTCCATTAAAACATGTGGTCAGCATCCAATGTCGAAAACTTACAGATCGTTTTATTTTGGGGATTTATACACAGCTGCAGGTAATTCATCTCAAAATGTGTCTTAAATTGTAAAAGATCTAAGAATAATGTCACTTTAAGGTCCAAAGTCTTACACTAACTTTTACAAAGTGCCTCTGAAGAAAATCCCGCACTAACAACACCCAAGCTCATCTCTAACCGGTTTGACAGTAGAAATTTCCACTTAACAGTTTTCTTCGGCTCCATACGATGTGAAAATATAGTGTACCATCCCTCACTCCGAAACGATAGGGACTGTCTTAAGGTGAACCAAGAAGTCAGTCCGAGGGCCAAAATTCAAACTCAATAAGGATCATCCAAAATCAACGGATCTCTGCACTCCTGGATATCGTCTACATTGCTTACGTAAGCTCAATCTCAACGTAAAACTCAGTGGCACGACCCAGATGTTCAAGGAACGACGTAATAAAATGAATTGTAGGCTCATCTTTTACTCCTTACGAATGTCGAATTCTGGAATTCGCTACTGGCTGAGCTGGTTCAAGCGACTTTCCAGGAGTTCTTCAGTAGAAAACGTGGCCTGTTTCTAAGACATCACAACAGTACTTCATTGTAATCTATCAATCTAATGTTCTTTCGCTCGTTACGTATGCCTGAGTTCCCACTTGAAGACGTCGGAGGTCCACTGGTACTAGATACAGGAGCTCGTTAAGTGTAGGCTTCCGCTGTACTGCACACAATAATATGAAACGGTCGAACGATTCTGTAAGTACGATTTTGGTAACTTGGTATTTCATCAGGAATTCTAAAGAATGGTTTGTCTTATAACAGAGAGTCATCGCTGACAC